ATTAACACGAAACGTGATTGTGGAAAAAGATGAATTTTGAGACATGTTTTATCGTTTAGTCTGATCAAATCCCAAAATTTTATGGAAAAGTTGCAAGTCTTATGACTTTAGCTTCCAAGAATTGCAAAGCTTGAAACTGACCATTTTTACAAACTTGTTTCAAGAATATATACACACTTACTTTACGTGTGGCAAAAACTGCATTAAAAAACACCCCATATATTTAATATTTTATATGCAACTTCTAACTTTCACAAACTGTCCTTCAAAAAGTATACGTGTAGATAAAGACCCAAAAAGAAATGAAATGAATGCTATTGCTATAAGTTATGTCATTTGAATGGAGTCAGAAAACTGCAACTTTTTCAGCTCGACACTAATAACCATGAGACTTTGTCCAAGTGAATAAGCAAACATTCTCATGTGTACAGTGATTTGCATTTATAGTTTCTTTAGCTGGGAAGTTTGAAATCATGACTCTTTAAGAATGGCTGGCTGTGGCTGGAAAGGAAATGAAAAAGATCTATTAATTATTTGCTAAATTATTTCTGGTTTGTGTTTTATCTATCAAACATTGAGATGGGGTGCAGTGGGGTTTCAAAGTCAACTTATTTGATCTTTAAATAATTATATAAAATTATTGAACTTAACAGTGATTGAAATCACTCTCTTCTCTCTGTTGTTGGATTAATATTTCTTTTATATTAGGTTCTGCTCTATAATCCCATTTTTTTAATCTAGCTATCTTGTTCTTTGTTTGCTAGTTCTATTACTAAATCACAAATAACATATGTCGGGCCATTACCTTGCCTAGTAAACCGACATAATTAACCTTGTTCCTTCAGCTAGTCAATTGGCTCCATGGTTTGTAAGATGCATTTTTTGTGTCATATGTGTGTATAGATATATATGCTATTAAATTATTCGGTAGAGAGAGAAAGTGATAATTAAAAGACAATATCATTTTCCTAGGTTGTTCTCTTCTGTGATTTTCTCTCTGTTTCTGGGTTTGGTTCTCATCATAATTCAATCCTACGCTGATATGTTTCCTAATATGAAAACGATGGCAGAATTTGGAAGCACGAAATGGTAAGGGCCCATTTGGTAACGTTCAACCATTGTTTCTTGTTCTTGTTTCAAGAAAAATGAATTGTATATCCCAACGTCTATGAATTCAAGTATCGTAAAACAATCTTTTTATTTATGTTTTGGAACAAATTGGAAATGGGAACAAAAAAGAAAAACTTGTTTTGATTGTTTCTAAAACCCACTTGGTAATATTCATATTTCTTGTTAGAAAAATGAATTGCATAACCCCAATATCCATGAATTCAAATATAATAAAATAATTTTTTTATTTATGTTTTGGAACAAATAGAAAACGGAAACAAGAAAGAAGAAACTTGTTTTGATTGTTTCCAAAATTTCTATATAATTTTGAGAATGTTTAAAAAAAAAAAGAGAGGAACAAGAAGTGTAGTTAGTTGTAAAGTGTTTAGAAAATTGAAAACGAGAAACGAGAAACATAAATGTTACCAAATGAACTCATAGTTTAGTTGCAAAATGTTTACCTTTCTTAAAAAAATTGAAAATGAGAAACAAAAAATGTGAATTAACTTACTTAGATCGTCCTTAACACACACCGCTAAAACAGATGCTAAAAAAATGGCAATAACAGCTCCTACTCACTAATGTTTCTTGAAACTGCTCTCCTAACTCAGTGTTGTATATGTAAGACACGTCAGTCCCATAATTGGTGGAAAATCATTTGTTGATTGAAAAAGGTATAGACATTATTTATAAATCAGCAACCGACCCAGTTGAATGATTCTGTCACATGCATCTACTTGTCGAGACAATTTTATATACAGCCTTCCCTCACCTTAGACTACTCCCCAAACCAACACTTGTGCAATTATTCGGTCTATCAAAAGTTGTCCATATCTTCAAACACTTTGATTTGATTACAAAACCATACAACTTAAACAAATATTCACACCCTTTAAATATTATCTGATTCAATAATGCATTTTGTACTGCATTTCCCTCGGCTTGGTCCATATGGATTTTAGTTTCAGGGTCAATTATTTCCGGTAAATAATTTGGTGTTTTCATTATGTGGGTGGTTGTGATTTAAAGAGATAAATTGGGCCACAGGTAGAAACTACAACATTGAATGGATTGATACAGTAGTAATTGTGAGAAGAATGCAGCGTTGGCATGGATCATGGGGACCAATAAAGCAGAGATTTTGAAGCTTGAGAGGTAAATAATTGAAGATCAAGGTTAATAGAAGGTTGAAACTGATAAGGTTATTCATTTGGGCACGTGATATCACGTGAGCAAGCATGAACATGCATGTACATATATGATCACAGTCAGTGGTTAAGGTTGGTCCAAAAATGGAAGAGAATCACATTGGGCCAAGACAGTGATTCTTTTGCTAAAGTTGCCAACACCCCACTGTTTGATTGATATTGCTGACTTATTTGCAGAGTTACGTTGAATTTAGCACAACCCCATAATCGAGTGAAGAGATAGAGCCATAACTTTTTCTCCCTTCCATAAGTTACTGCAAGAATTGCCACAAGTGGATAGGTGGTTTCTGGGTTTGTGTGAGAGATTTTTCAAAATTAGATGGGATGTGCAATTAATGTCACTTGTTCAAAGTCCACCATTTGAAACATAAAAAGACACCCTTTAAATTGTTAATTAATTGGACTGTTGAAAGAAACACTGTCTCCAATGGACATGAATGAAACAAGACGACAATACCAAAGCTCGTGGCTAAAGTATGAAGATTGTTGGCTTTTCTGTCATCTAAAACATGAGTCAAAAGTCAAAACAGAAGGCATTTGAATCCGTGCAACAGCCTAAAGTTAACGCAGGCGCCAAAGTTTGGAATATGAAGCAAGATTCAAGCATTCATTTTTATGGCAACTCTGTTTTGACAGATAATGTTGTGTAAATTCAAAGGTTGTGCTTGGTTTACTTGTTAAAGATGGCGTGTGTTTGTGAATGTCAGAAGGAAGGGACAATGGATGAGAGCGGGGAGATCCAAAAATTCACGAGTCAAACAATATGCAAAAGCCAATCTCTGTGATATGATGATACAATACAAAAAAAAACCCAAATTAAACTGCCACTTCTTTTCATGTTGGGGTCAGAGGATTTCCCAAGTGATTCAACTCTGTAGAGAATGAAAGGGAGTTGGGTTTCCCCATTATTCCACGTGCAGCGAAACCCAACTGATCCATCATTTTTGCCAACAGTTAAAATACAGAAAGAGGTTGATTTGGTTCACCAGCTCCACACTGATTCAATCACATATTTTAAGTTAAGACAGCTCTGCTGTTAATTTGGTTCACCAATCTCTATATTACCTTTGCACAGGTGTAAAGGACAACAGTTCCACGATCATATATTGTCCGCTTTGAATATTTATTCTTAGTTTTACCAAAAATTATCTCATATCAATAGAGATAATTGTCCTACCCGACCATTGGGCTTTGTTTGCATTTTTATTACAAATCCAACGAGCTTTCGCAACAAAAAGAAAAGCAAGCCAGATCCAAAAATAATACATTATAAAGACGGGAATGGTACTTTGGAGTTGTAAAGTATGGTTTCAGCTCTGCGGTTAATCATTTGCAGTGAAGTGTCAAATCAGCAATCAGCCATGTTTGATCGCTGCTACTGCAGTTATCATAATGACAATGCTGATAAATAAGTAAATACCAGTGGATAAATCAATGGTTGCTCCTCTGTCATTGGATCTTTCTGTTGTTTGGTCCCAAGTAAAAGTGGGTGAAGAAAGTAGCTAAGTAAAACAATGTTGTTCCTGGTTATGTAATGTTATGTTAACCATTTGTCCTTTCATTCTACCTCGATTTTACAAGTCCACTGTTTGTGCCAAAAGTGTCTTTTAAAGTTTTAATTTAAATATTATGTATTATGATTTTTAAACACCAAGCCGTCTTAGCTCAGCTGGTAGAGCGCATGGCTTTTAACCATGTGGTCGTGGGTTCGATTCCCACAGACGGCGGATTTTATTTTTTAGAGTTTGTTTTTTTGAATGTAGTTTATGTTCCATTAAATATATATAAAAATTCACAGAATAGGACACGCATGCGATAATTAATGGTAACTTGAGAATTTTAAACCAATAAGAACGATTAGCCTACTATTTGTTAGATGCTATGCTGATTTGGTCCTGATGCATTAAACTTTGTCAATTATTTTCTATCATTCGTTTTGCCAATTACTTTATAAATTGGTTAGATGTGGGTTTTTCATTAATGGAATTAATTATACCACTCTCTTCTTAGTTCATTAAGTTGTTTCCTAAGAATCCAGATGCCTAATTGAATGTATTATGGAATAGACAAAATGCGTGTTTAGAAGAGACGGTAGAATTAGTGATTTTGAAATTTTTTTTTAATATAATTGATTTTCAAAAATCAACATTCAAGTACACTTAAAAATTAATTTAAAGTGATTTTAAAGTCTGCTATAATTAATTTTTTAATTTACCAAATATGATCCATGGAAAAGAAAATGATTATGAGAATGACAAAATTATAGCTAAAATCACACCCCAATAGCCAATGATATGATAATAATACCTTGACGTTAATACAACTTTCTCCGCAAAGACAACCCACCAAGGATTTCTCAATGACAGAGGATAATTCTTCTACTTCTATGCAACAACTTAGAGTATGTTGGAGAGTAAGAGTAAAATTAGTAACTTTATTAAAAAAAAAAAAATTCAAGTATAATTGATTTTCTAAAATCACCATCCAAATAATACCTTCAAAATCAATTTAAAGTAAGCTTTTCTAAAATAAATTGCTTATATTACCAAAATGATTAATGGAAAAAGAAGTGATTTTGCCAATGACAAAATGAACTCCCTAAGCATATGGAAGTATATCGACAAAACTATAAACCAAAAAGTTTTGAGGCTTAGATATACTACTTTTCAGTTTCACGTGGGGTTGAGTAGAAAATCATGTTGTGTCATAAAGCTTCATGTGATTCGCAGTCGTCCTCGTCCTTTCAAAAGCATGAATGAACAATAATCTCAAAAATGGTAAACAAATAACAAACAAGGAAATGGAAAACAAGTTGCCGCCAATTACAACACAGATGGATCCTCATATTCTGTATTATTTTCTAACCTAGTAGAACCATGTCTTCGGAATTGGATAGAAGCAACTTTTAAAGGTCAGGCATGCCCTTCCCTGTTTTAGCATCATAAGTTTTCTCCAGCACCACATCCATTGGAGTATCCTTGGGACCAGCTGCGAATCAACAGATATGACCAAGTCAAAAGGTGCAGACGTAGTTAGAGGAATAACTTCAAGGCAAAAGTTAGAGAACTATATTGAATTTCACATGCACGCCAGAGTGCCTAAGCACAAAGTTCATGTTTAAGCATCAATCTTCGCACCTCGAGCACAGTACATCTGTTGGGGTGGTCTGAAAAGCTAATGCAAACCAGACCCCGAGTCTATCGATTTTTCCTTATCAAATTGACTAAATTGGTGTGGATCGAGATACATCAGAATTATGCATGAAGTCTATGTTTCATCAAAGATGCAATGTTGGTCATTCAGGTATTCTAATTTGTTTTTCAAGAATATCGAAAACAACAGTATTGACATCCTTCACAGAATTAGTTACTTGAGTTATTATGGGTGCACGGAAGAAAACTTTTGTAACAAAGACAAGAATTGAATTATTATCAACCCATTTATAGAAGCCGTATAACATTCTATTTACAGTACCTGCAACACTGAGAAAGAGAGAGGACAAAAATAACCTAGCTAAGTATTACAATTTAAATGAAAAAATCAGCAGCCTAAAGAATAAAAGATAAAATCAGCAGCTTAGTTCTTCATTTGACTATTATAAGTTCTAACATCCCCTCAAGCTCACAATATCTCAGTGAGCAACTATGAGCTTGTTACAAAGCTTTAGAAACAACTTGTGGAAGAGCTTCCATCAATATCTATTTGGAGTATGACGAACATGAACAATAAGAGATCTATTAACCACGTGATCATGAACAAAATGTAATATTTTATAATGGTTCAAAGGTTTAGAAACAACTTATGGGACGAGCCTCCATTAATATCTATTTGAAGGAGTATGATGAACATGAATAATAAGAGATCTATTAACCACGTGATCATGAACAAAATGATTTTTTTTATTTTTTTTAGAGTGTCCATGTCAACTTGCACGCATCTTATCACAGAACGACTATTTGACCCTACTACATTTGGTTACCAAAGAAACTTGTAGGATATTAAATCTTAGGTTAGTTAGTGACCACCATGGTCGAACCCATTCAAGCCCTTCATTTTTCTCATTGGTCCCAATGACAAGAAGATCAACCCATGGTGAAGAACAAAGTGATAATTGGCTTTCACACATTATGTATGAGCATGTAACACAGGATTTGAAACTAAAATACATCACACTAAAATTATCACAAAGAAGAATTGGAGCACAAGAAATAGGATGATGAAGGATGGGTTCAAGAGCGGCCGTTGATCTTGCTTGACATGAGGTCTAAGCTGATTTGGTAGAAAGATGGGTCTTGTGGTGTATAGCCTGGTCTATGATTGACCCATGTTGACTTGAACACAACGGTTGTGCACACTGAATTTTTTTTTCTTTTTAGTTAACTTAGTTCTAATATTAGCGATATACTACGATGTTTTTAAATGAAGGATTCTCTTCTTGTATCTAAATCAACTATAAAAGCATCATATTCTTTCTCTTTTTTTTCCTTTTTTGTTAACAAGAAACAAATTTTTCATTGATGATATGAAAAGTAATAGAAGCATTATATTCAACCACAAATCCTCCCTATTAGAAGTTCACCTGTTGTTGGTTCACTGATTCTAACCAAATTATTAGCTAATTTTCTGATCCTGCAAGTTTCACATTCCGAAGCTTCCTCCTAAGGTTCATGGTTGTGGCCTTCAAGGTGTCGTTGTCCATTGTGGCTATTGCATGCCAGACAGAACAAGCATTCCATACTTTGGATTGATTTGAAGTCTGTTTTCATTGCAGTATTGAAGAGGACACAAGGTTTGATTCCTCAATAGCATGATAGCATTCAATAGTTGGTTTTGTCACAGCAGATAGTTTTCATCATAGAATGACAAAAATAAGAAAGAGATTGGTTTGGTGGAAAGCTGAAAGTAGCTGAGGTATTTATGTTGCTTCGCTTGGAGGAAAAGATTGGTGAGTGTAAGAACATTGATCGATGTAGATCAAGAAGAGACCATATAAGCTTTCGTTTAGAGCTCTAATACCCAAAAAAAAAAAGTTTTCTTAATAAAGAAGGCAAGGAACTTTTTACCATCGGACTAATTTCAACCCATTTACAACAGGCTCATCTGTATAGCACTCTATTATGGTACCTATTATACTGAGAAACAGATAGGACAAGAGAATAACTTAGTTGACTAAGTAATACAGAGACTAAGCTAAGATGTTACATATAACTTCAACGACTCAATCAGCAGCCTAAAGCATAATACAGAGATCTTAAAGATATGACCAATTAACACGATAAGGCTCATCTCAGACTATAGCTCTTGGAAAGAACAAATAATAACGTGAAAAAGGGAACAAAGGAAAGGTCCAACTACAAATGTATGCCATAGAAGCACCTTAGAGCAGAAAACGTAGCAAATAACAAGAGAAAAAAATTAAAGAAGAACAAAGTAAATAAAAATAAATAATGAGGTCTATAAGATTTAGGTCAGTACCAACTGTAGGTCTGGGAGTAGTCCTTATCTTTAAGATCTCTGGACGAGGAATTATGGATCCCGAGGCTCCAATTCCTCTTGATACCCGTACTTTAGAACCATCTTCAAGATATCTGATACCAACCTTACAAGGCTTCCTGCAAAGGAATAATATTTGTCACTGCTCCAGTTAAAGGCAAAACAATTAACAGCCAAGGATAGTATCCAGACCCTGTTGCTGGATCAACAACTTGAACATTTGATACGTGTAGGGGGGCTTCAACTGTAAAGATTCCACCTTCATGGCCCTGTCCTTGCTTAATGTGTTTCTTCACCTGCATGAAGCAGAAAAGTGAATGACAGAGAATTGAACTGACACACTCATATCATGTGCAACTGCTGGAACCATGAAACGACAAGATTCATAAGTAGTTGTAGGAGGAATCGTAGCAAAAAAACAAGACTCATAAGCAAACTAATGGAACCATAAAATAGCATTCATCCAGACAGCAGCATCTGTATATTACACAAGTTGATGAAATAAACAGAATAACTAGACGTTTTTCACTAATTGACATCCTACTATCCTTGAACATTAATAGATTGTTGACACTGATTGAATGGAAAATGGTTGTTGAAAATACTTCACAGATTCAAAGAACATCAAGCATAAGTTTAAAATTGGTCTTGCTCCTGTTAAATTGGTAAGGATAAAGTCAGTTACATAATGTCATTACTAGAACACAGTATTTGAGCCCCCTACCCAAACTTTCAAGATGGAACTCTAAAAATGACTTTAGATATATTCATTTGGTGTAAAGCACTCATACAAAGGGAAAAAAAAAAGGTTACAAACCAATCACTTGCACTGGTTCAGTTGCTTGCATTATCACATGTGTGCCTGAAAGTGCCCAAGCACCATAATTGAACAGGAGGAAGCTCAACTCTAATTGGCAACCATTTGCTTACCAGGTTTTTACCCTCGACAATGACACGATTTTGAGAGCGAATGACACGCTTGATTAAACCAGTTTCTCCTTTATCCTTGCCTCTGATAATCATCACCTATGTCAATTACAGACAATCATGATTATCGTAAGGAAACTTGCAACAAGAGAAAATAAAGCATTTATCTTAAAAGTTTCCTTTACATTATCTCCTCTAAGAATTTTCCAATGCCTAATCAGCTTTTCAGCAGCCTTCCAACCCATTTAACAGAAATGCTAATACCAGAGCTATTGCTGCCAATATCTGCACAAGTTACCTCAACAATCAGCAGTTCATCATTCAGGTCATTCTACACCTTCATTACCACTTAGAACATGGATGAAATACTAAGTAGAAAAACCCAAGCAGATCCCAGGGATTTATAGCATACAATCAGTGGCAAGAAAAGTACGTGAGCTTGGTAACCTCCAGCAATTCATCCTGGCTCGGTTCATTGGTCAAATCACCAGCAAAGCAGAAAAGATAATTTATTCTCCATCCGTGCATAAATTTAAAGCAAAAAAATTGGTGATGAAGTATTTTCGATCAAGGATTGTGGAATATTGAAATCTTACCCTAATATTTGTTCATCGGAATACACCCGCAATACATGCTAACTATAAAAATAGAAAGCAATAAAAAAATAGAATATCAATTTAAATGTCAGCACATATCCACGAATTCGACGTTCCGCAAGCATTCAGAGGTTCTTCCGAGTCACGTCATCGAAGCATAATTTTGCATTAGGAACTAAACCAGGATGTTAATTATGAAATGCACGGGAAATGTTGGTTTTCCAATAACATAAACAAAACAAAACCTTCAGAAACATTTAAAGGAACATGTGATATGGACTTTACAAGGGTCACATAAGGAAACAAAAAGGCATCATCTGAAACGTAGAACAGAGATAAATTTCAACCTATTAATGGGGTCCTTGATTTATCTAAATTTCCGGACCGTTTTCCTCTCTGCTTGTAAAAGAATCACAAATCACGAACCGTCGAGAAGCACACACGAAAACCCAAGTCCCACAAGTGATGACGAAGTAGAATGCAAACAATAACAATAGCTGTAAGTAATACGAGTACTATTACTCACTGAGCTACAGTGCTGTGCTCGTCTCTTTCGTCCTCCTGAGTCCTACAGCCGAGCCTCTGTTCTTCCGGTTGAAGCTTCCAGTTGAAACCTTTGCTTAATCAATCGCACAACCATCGTCCGCGGGATTTCGGGTCGGGTCTAATTATAGGCAGGTTACGGTCGAAAAGCCTGTGGGGCTCTATGCGGAGTTGGGCTTGGGCCTCATAGAAAATATCCCCATATGTTTATTTTATAATCAATATTTCACAAAACTTCATCATAATTTACACCTTCAGATCTACATAAATGATGATTTTTTGTCTTTAAATTATCCTTAATGGATATACTCTGATTATATTTACAGTGTTATTTTAAATTTATTTTTTTCTTATAAATTAATAGTCAATTAAAAACAATATTTACACTCGTTTATTATATTTTCATAATAATTAAAGCAATGATGTTTAACCATAATTGTAATTAAAAAATAAAGAATATTTACACTTATTGAAGCAAGATGAAAAAGGTATGAAATATCTCAAATTAATTATGATTCATATATATATAAATGAAGTTTTTCATGATATCTAGATATAAAATATGAATCACATTAATTATTAACTTATGTTATAATTTTGACTAAATTACAAAAAAATATTATTGAATGTTGCAGAATAATAAATAAAATATTAATGTGACAGAATCTAAAATAACGTGAAAAACTAACCCAATTAATTAGAACAATTAGTCGCTATCAAAAAAAAATTAGAACAATTAGTCCACACTACAAAAAATATGATTATAGTAAAAAAAAATAGATAGGTTCATAGGTTTTTTTTTTTTTTTGTAATTTAACCTATTAAAAAAAATTAATTTAATTTGTGTGTTTCTAATTTTTCAATATTTTTTCATTTATTCCATCAAAATATTCTTAATTATTATTAGAATATGTTTAAATTTTCTTATTTTTCTCGTCCGAGGGAATGGTGCAGCCCAAGGACAAGAAGCCCAAAGGATTTGCTATTTTTTTCCTTTTTCATCCATTTTCTTCTCTCCTTTTTTCTTTGGGTAAAAGAATGTGACGATGAGAATATGTTTAGATTGTTCGCCAGTTACCATTATAATTTTTTTTTAATGTAATGTTCATCATTATTCTATGGAATCAATCTAAAATTTAATAAAAAAAATTAAGAGAAAGGAAAAAGAGAAAACATTTGTAGTGTAGTGATATATGTGATTGGATACACACACAAGACGAGTGAATATAAGTAATAAGGAATAGAAGTTAATTATATTGAGTTTATTGTATGAAAAGGATGAAATACAATGAAGATGGATTGGATGATAAATAAAATAAATTCCAGGCACTGCATTTTCTCCTTTTCGTTTGGTGTTCGATCACAATTAATCCAACACCTCATCCAGCCTGATGTGCAGCTTATCAGCGGCCTCTTTTTGGGTACAATCTTCGTCGCATTTGACCTCGCAGAAGCTGACGCCCTGCCCATTCTTCTTGCATTTGTCCTCGCACGCGATGAAGCATTCCCTGTAGCGGGCATCGTACTTGTTCTCCGCCGCTGCCGTCGGCGTCTGCATCGCTGCCATCACCACCACGCACACAAGAAACACTGCGACTAATTTGTTGGCCATTTTCTCTTAATTCGTTGTTTGCGTCGCACTGCTTGCCTTGCTTCCTTCCTGTTTTGTGTCGCGGTGTTTCTCTCTGTGTGTGTGTGGATTGCCTTGGTGAAGGAGATGGATGGAGGAGGGTTTTATAGGGATTTGGATGCTAATTTTGGACGCCACCGCTCCTCAAAACCTGGGGGACCCTTTCAACTGCAACGCTACCATTGGCCGCCCTTGCCTGTTGAACTGTTCAAATTTACCCTTTTTTTTTCTCGATTTTTCTGTTTTGTTTATTTGTTTGCTGTAAATATTTTTACCTTGTTCGTCGTCTATTTAAACATTACATGTCATAGTTTTGTTGCGAATCACGGTGATTTTAAAATCTTTTCTACTGTTTGGTTAATAAATAAAATATGAAGGAGTTTAAAATCATGTTAAAAGAAAATTTTCATTTCCAAATAGGTTGGATTTGGAATAATTTGGAATTAAAATGTAACATATTCTAAATTTATCCAAAGAAAAAATAGATCTCGTTTTTTAAATAAATTTACTCACACCACCCTCCACCTTTGTTTTTTTTGGTAAATTGCATATTAGGTTGGTTTTCGATTTTTACCTCCCTTCTTTTACTAACATCTTTTTTGTCATCATTTAATTAAAATATGGTTGATTTTCTATTTTGATTGGTATGTCTTCCATCCTTTTTTCTTTTTATTTCAATTTTTATAACACTAATTTGAGTAAAAAAAAATTTAGTTTCAAATGGATTTGAAAATAGATGGGTAGTTTGGTACATTAAAATTTCTTCATAGTTTTTTTTTTTAACTATATATGGCTTTTTTTTTCTCATTTTTAGTTGAAGGATTGTTTTGCAAAAATAATACTAATTATAATAAATAAGGAAGCAAAGGGCACCACAATAAAAAAGAGACCAAATGGAAAAAAATGAAAAAAAAATTTAGATTATGATTTAAGTTTGTTTAGTTATCTTGTCAAAAAAAAAAAAGGTTTGTTTAGTTATAGGTCTTATTTTGGTTTAGATTTAAAATAATTAATTTTAAATTTTTAAAAAATATATATTTTCAAGAAACATTTACAAGTTATTTTTTGTCTTTTGTTTGTTCAAATTTCATCGGCAAGTTTTACTTTATTAAGTTAATTTGGTTAAATACTATTTCATATTAAAACATTATATTATTATTATTATTTATACAATATTAGGCAAATGGTATAACATTAAAATGTTATTATTTATTTTTATTTATCTCCAAATAATAAATTTTAATTTCAACCATGTTAGATTCGTCGCTTCTAAACCCAGGAATTTGAAATCATTTCTATATTTTAAAATCTTCAAATTTGCTCACATTTTGATGATTATACTGCTATCGTTGCATCGCATCTCGAGCTTCTAATTCAAAATAGATGAGTAAATTTGAGGAGTGACATCAAAGCTAGAATGAACGTGTAATTCGTGAATTTACAGAGTGACTCGAGGGAAACAAATGGGGATATATTAAGCACGCACAATTAAAAGAGGAACGGAAGCAGAAAGGTTCTCAATTGGAACTGAAAACCATTAGGGCTATGGATACGAGGAAGAGAAATGGTGGGCGGAAACAAGATGGAGCAGATGCGGATGGAGCTAAAACGGGTCGGATCCGGTGATGGGTTGCGGTTGGAGCTTGCGACGATTCCACAGGAGGATATGCCGGTGTCAGTTGCGGCGGCTGCGCCTGAGGCTGACTACTTTCCGCCGCCGGAGCCACCACTACTGCTTTGGAAACTGCCCAAACGAAGGACAATTTTGTATGTGCAAGTTGAAATTTCAAGACAAGTATCAATGCCTTGTTGGGTTAATTATCAGCTTTTTAAGAAGTTAATTTGTTGGGAATAGATCACCCATGTTCTAGGTTTTTCAACAAATTCTTGAGTAGAATATTTTTTATAGTGACTGTGAATAGTGTGTGAAAAGGAATCTTGATAGCCATTGTTATGGTACTTAGAAGTTGATATCTTCGTATTGTAATATTTCCAACAAGAGTAGAACTTGCTTTTTTTGTATAAGACTATAGTCTGAACCAATATAATATCCTTGTGTGTTAAGTTTTTCTATCCCTATATCTTATTCCTTATTACTTGCTTAAAGCTCGTTGGAGGAGAAAACCAAATAGTTCGAACTTATATATTTTTTCCGTCATAATTAAGGTTGATTTTGATGACATGGTTATCATGCAAAAGTACTAGAGACTGTTTCATGGAGTTTTCAAGCAAAATTACAGGTTACCTTGTGGGCTTAAAGGAGAAGCAGCGGCTGTAGGAGGCAGAGCAGTTGGTCCAAGAGAAATAGGTCCTGTCAAGTGTCAAGTACAAAAGGGTAAAATTTTAATTACTCTTAGCGGTGTTTAAGAATTTTGAGTTCGATCCTATCAAATGTCAAGTATAAAAGTGAGCATCGCTCAGTAGCAATTGATATATATCTCCAGACAAGAGGTTGGGAGTTTGATGCTCTACCCCACACGTTATACTAAAAAAAGAATTTTGAAGAGAACTAGAGAAGAGCAATCATACCTGGGGATGGCAGAGGAGAACCAGAAGCTGCAAGATATGATCAAAATCAACGCTACAACTCATAGAATCTAAGAGATTGTCAACAAAATGATCACAAATACGAAAAGAATGAGATGAGATATTTTACCTTTGCATTGAGCAGGCAAGTTGGTGATGTTACAAGAAGTTGGAAGGATGAGTGCGAGGGCTGCATTGATGGGCAGAGGAACAGGGACATTGGCAGTGAGTAAAAGACAGGCGCAGTCCATGCTTATACCTGAGAGAGATCTCAGAGTGGTGCAGCAACTTTCTTTTTGTGAAGAACCATTGTTGCTACTTCCAGTGATGACGTTGAAACATGGGGTGAAATTGTTGATCATTGAGGCAGTGCATGGAGAACGAATCTGTCCTTTAACTGAAGAACTGCCTAAAATAGTTGCTGCAACTGAGATGAATGCTAAAGCCTTGAAAGTCTCCATCATATCAGTAAGAAATGGGGTGCACAATGAAACAGAATTCACTCACTGCCATCTTTCATTGGGAGGTTGTTGTAGTTTATATAAGTTTGAGAATTTTGAGGAAAAGTCTGGTAGATTTGAAACTGGGTTTTGGAGTTCAACCAACTTGATAAACCAACATATAATTTACCATTGCAAGAGAAATTTTGGTTTCCATCTATCTCTTCCCCTTTAATGTGTTTGGACTTGGAGTTCTCATTGGGTGGTGTTTGGCATGTTGGTTATACCAAGAGTTGTATTAATGGATTTTTTCTTCCAAAACAAGAAACAGACAAACAGCTTCTAATACTCAGGAGGGTTTGTGTTAGGATCAAGTTTACAAACAGATGGAAGCTCTCATTGCAGAGGCAGACGAGCCAATTTGTTGTTGTCATTGTCAGTGACTTTCCTCATCAATTGTCATTAAAACAAAGGGAAGCTCGTTTGCCGTGATTCAGATGCGGAGTTAGGGGCACAAAGGACCGTGGAATGGAAAACTACTGGGCCAAACAATATTCTCGTTGTCACATAATATACTMTATTCTATTTAATTAAAGTCCAGGGGCACGTGCCCGTGGTCCCCACGTGGATCCGCCCCTAATGGTTGGTTTTCATATTAAAAGAACTGAAACTCTACCCAACTGCAGGCTCAACGGTTGCTCTCGTACCTCCATGGACTGCCTTGTTTGCCGACTTTTCTTTGTCTAGATCACAAACCCACAATCAAAATGAAGGTGTTTTGCCATGCTGAAATGTGGTTTACTACACAAGTCATTGGGTCACACCTGTAGAGAAAATTTGGTCACCCACTACGACCAACTTGCGCATGTATTAATTCTTCTTCTTCATTCAGGTTTAACCTGTAAAACCCCCAAATTTCTCTCCTATGGAATAATGTAAATGTTTCATGCAAAACAGCAGCAAAATTGGCCCTGAAGGGATTCTGATAAGTGGCTCTGCAACATGTCAAGAGTTTCAGATAATAGAACACTGCTTACCAAAAAGCTCAAGTAAATTTAATTTTCTAAATTGAATAGTTGCATTAATGCACTCCACGTCTTTCTAAAAGCAAGAAGGGAAAAGTTAAACATGCCCTCTGGATTCATTGATTATCTCTGCTATCTATTTCCAGAAGATTTAGTTGATGTATGCTTTTTCAGAAACTAATATAATAATTGACAATATTAAGGAGGATAAAGAAAGACTGCCAAATGAAACCACCCGAAAAGGCTTTAACACCATTAGTTTGATCAGTAGGAGCATCACAAATAATTGAGTTCGATTGAGTCTCACATATATATATGTAACTTATAAAGTTTCAAAATCTTATAGTTTCATACCATTTAAGGTAATAGATGATCAGTATGATAAATTTAATTGTAATTTTCTTCTTTTAAGGACAGTTTTCAAAGTTAGAGGTAATTAATTTGTTCAGAGAAATTTGCATGTATGTATAAATGTATGGATATCAAAATATATGCAAATTTGTCAAAATTTTTGGGCACAAATCAAGTGACATTCTATGGGTGAGTGAACCACCATGAAAAATTGAACAATAAGGTTCCTCAAAGTGATGTAAGCTCATCTAGAATAGTGCTTAATATTAGCATTTTGCTGAAGAAATTAAATCAGCAAGTATCATAACTAAAATTTTGAGCAATAATGTAACCCCACTTCACAATTCAAAATTGAGAATTACCAAAAACCGTCTCCCATGCCTATTGTCTGCTTTAATTTAGGCATAAACTTCACAGTTTTGCTTTTGGTTTCATCCAAAGCCTCGTATCAATGAAGATAATTGTCCTCATTTATATACTATGAATCATGTTCTTTCCTAACCAATGTGAGACTTTTTTTGCCTTCACCTTACCAGAGATTGTAGTGTATGTTGAATGATGAAATTTTGAGGTGTTCATTTGGTCCCATTAATAAACTGAATATGAAGATTGAATATTCGCGATTTGTATTTGAAACATCATGACACATACATGTTTATGTATAGAGATAAAGAAACAAATATATGATAGATGATTATATGGCTTGATCCAATTGAAACCAATATATAAAATGTAGTTTTCTTTTAAGTTGATCTAATTTTTGGATTTGGATTAATTCTGGTTTGTTTAGATTTGGACATGTGTCCCTAGGTAGCTTCAGATTGAAGAGGTGTTTTGCTGTGAAATATATATTCTACCAAATAAGGAAGGTTTGGCCACCCACTTAAAGCTAGCTAAGATATGAACTTCTGTGCAAAATTATTCATAAAATTGAGTTGAATTAATTTGGATATAAAATGGGACATGGGGTATGGTATTTTTGTAAAGAAACCCAAAAGAAGTAGAAATTAGAAATGGGTATTATTGGATCAGTGGTAGTGGTAATTGTGGCGTTGAATATTCGGCATCAGAGCTTGGGTCAGTCACTTGGTTGCACCACGGCGTTGATAAGCTTATCTCCGTGCTTGAACTTCGTTACTGGAAGCTCTTCTAATTCTTCCACTCCATCTTCCTCTTGCTGCTCACGCCTTGCCAACGTGGTCCAATCGCAGCCACAGTGCCTTTGCTCAGCGCTTAACGGAGGCGCCGCCGGTGGCGGTGTCACCATCAACCCCACTCGAGCTCTTGCGCTTCCCGCTGCTTGCCATCTTCAAACGCCGCCGCCTAGCCGTTGTAACGGTAACCACGCTTTCTTCTCTTTTCTCTTGCATCAACATTGATCACAGCATTTGGCTAATGGTAACTACGTGATGTTAAATTAGTATTGAAAAATACTAACATCATAACTTTGTTAATCTCGTTTCTTGTTTCTCATTTGTAAATTTCATAAGAAAAGTAAACATTTTGTAACAAACTATATTTCTTGTTTTTCATTTTAGAACATTCTTAAAATGGTATAGAAACTTTTGTTTTTCATTAATTTGTTCTAAAATATAAATAACAAAATTGTTTTATCAAATTCTGGTTATAGTTAGATCATGCAATTCATTTTTCTTTATTAAAAATGAAAGAAATATAAATAAGAAATGGTAACTTTACCAAATGAGATCTTAACGACCCAATCTTATCTTCACCACCGTTGAAAATTTAATAACTAATTAATTTTTACAAAAAGTCTTTATTCTTGCATTTTATTTCTTAGTTATCAAACATAGTATTGACAAGATTTTTTCTCATTAGTATTTACAAGGTTGTCTTTAAATGACGTTATTCTTTGCTGCATATTCTAACTTCATTTTAAATATTATTATATCACCAATAAACTAAAAAATCTAAGTCAAATATTCCCGGTATAATATTGTCTGCTTTGGACACATAGCCCTCCACTTTTATTTTTAGCTTCATCCAAAATACTTAATAAGATAATTGTTCTCACCGATCAGGCTATTCTTTAACGAATATGAAACTTTTGTTTGCATTCTCTTCGCAAACCCAACGCTAGCGAGGGATACCGAACCAACACACTAACTTTTAACTTGATACAATGTGAGACACAGATGTTAGTGGATCTATGGCGCGCACGACATCTCCGGTGAGTTCGCCGGAAAGTTCCCCAACTGAATCTTTCGACGACAAAGAAGTTGTTGAAACTCCAACGACGACGACATGGGAAGGCAGTAATTTTGGTTCAGCAACAGCCTCTAGTAGCGTTCCCACAACAGAAGGAAACCCATCTAACAACGGTCTGAGCTTAATCAGCACGCCTTTCTATCTCATCATCAATGGCGGTGTTCTTCTCACAGCTCTGTTAATCTAAATTACCTACCAATGTTTATATGTGTACGTTTGATTTAGCACATGCATTATCCAACCATTTTAGTTTATAACCACATGGTAATATAATTAATATAATTGGAACGTACAGTTTCAGAAATCTTAATTCAACTCCTCTACAGATTATACGAGTTTGAATTTGTCTCTGAATTTCAAAATCGTGCAATCGTAAACTATTCTGTTTCGTCCCTGATTGAAGGTTGTCATTAACTCGAGAAATTGACTCAATTGACTTGAAAAAGTTTCTATTTTGCTCCAACGACCTAAATTATAAAAATTGACTTAACTGACCCAATTTTAACTTTTCTGACATTTCAGAGAGTCTGTAATTACGAATATACCTCAAATGAATTGAACTACAACAAATCTAGCACGGAATCACGTAGGTTGGTGTAATTAAAATCATGGGCGAGTTCCACCTGATTCATGACCATGGATTTATTATAGAGTCACCAACTTAATAATTCTCCACCAAATTTTTGTACTATCATTTATTATATACCCACACATTCTCACCGATTGCAGAGAATAAAAGTATGTTTTAGTCCGTATTGTCCAGAAGCACATCTTTCACGTGGTTTTGAAGAATTTCCATACCTTTTTCAACATTTTTCACATCTTGAATCCATTAAAGGAAGTCAATTTTTCATCTCTGACACCTTGAACGAGGTTAGTTTTTTATTGGTTCATAATATTGTTTTCGATTCGTCTAGAATATGATGTATTTAGTTGGAGTAAATGGAATTTCTGAATTTTTATCAGTATTTTTGTGGGTAAAAGAAGTTACGTAAGTCAATGATTCATGGCCGTGTTTATTCGTTTAATAGTCGTGGTCAATGGTTTTATGATTAATGGCCGTGGTTTTAGGTCGATTGCATACAGATAACCTTGATCGGCTCACGACCATGGTCCATTTTGTCGATTCGTGACCGGGGTGTTTAGGTAGGACCACGGCCGTGGTTGTGTGATTAATGGTCGTGGTAACATG